ATAGCATACATGCGTTGTCTCTTCACCTCTCGCTTCTCACGGGAAAAGCTGACTTCTTACAATACGGAGATTAAACCTTTGCCTCGGTAATCAGCCTCCACACGTGCGAGATAAATCGTGCCAGATACTGTCATTTTCACAAATATAATAATAAAAAAGCCGTCGCAACCGTTTTTCAACTTTCAACTTCAATAATTTTAATTTACTCTTTGATAATAGGTTTTTTGCAATGTGCATGACGTTTCGCTCTTACAATCAACATAAAACTAATAACTTTACGAATGTTGTTTTACATAATAAAATTGTGTAATATAATTTTATAAACAACAATCTATTATTATTTATAGAAAATATACATAGGCACTTACGAGGGAATATTTCTGTTAAAAAATCTTATCGTAATGAAATGCTAATGGCTATATTTTGGCAATAAACAAAGGAACCTTCTTATTCGCGCGTTATAGACGACGCAACGCGATCGTTGAATTCCCACGTGTCAGTGAACCGAAAGCTCTGCAATACGAACTCGGCCATAACCGCGTGCAATATTACTGCTCTAGTTGCAGTTCTGTTTATCTCTACTTTCTTTTTTCAAAGATCAATACTCATTTTTGCGTGCACAATATGTCTCATAAACCTACTAAATATTATCTGAGTATTATTTCAAAGTTAATTTAATATATATCATTGATAATGTTGATAATGTTGATAATTCATAAAACCGAAAAGATTTATTTATTTTATTGTCAATATTTCAATTTTGCGAATAACCATATGATGAAAAATTAGCTTTTTACCTAAAATTTTATGAAATATAAAAATGTAAATATGTAAAAATTAATCTCTCGCGTATATTATATTACACAAATCATCGATTTTTGTCAACAAAATAAAAATAGTCTATAACATTTTTTTCCTCGATCCATTTTTCCCATATTACTTTGTACAAACCGCACCGAATCGTTCTATGCGACTTTTCAGCGCATTCCAGTACTCGTCGGTATTCACCTACGAGAGCTGAGTTACACGATTCGACTGACTCACAATTGCCACGCCTTCGTCAAGCCGAGCATAATACTCTTTGTTGAATCGCACGGGAAACGCTGCTTTTCGAGACAGCGTGCCATGTTCTACTCCCGATTAGGCTAAATTAAATATGAGATGAAATCTTGAATTCAATGCCGATTACTATTATTATGTGTCTCACGAGCAATCACTCGGTACTCGATGAAAATTGTATGATTGTTTTTTTATTAAATTCATTTTTTGGGAAAATTTAGTATTTCACCCTGACAGGGATACGAATTAAGATGACATTCTGAATGGAGTCCGAATGTGAGTCCGAGTAAATTCATAAATGTGTATTTCTTTTTGAATTTTGCTAACATAAATGACAAAATTTCTCTTGCAGAAGATATTGTTTATTTCATTTTATTCATCAAAATAACCATTATTTTGTTTCAGCAAGTTGCCAAATGTCGCTCTGTACATTAACTAAAGAATTCACAAAACATTTTATGTTAAATTTGATTATTTTAAATTATTGCTTTGCATATAAAATTAATATTCAACGAAACAGTAGAGAGTACTTCTTCTCTTTGTATGTTCTAATTGAAAAAATGAAAAAGAAACAAGTTATTTATTCGAAGAGAAATTGGTTTGCACTTCAGTGCCAAGAGAGCATATCGTATCTTCACAAAAAATTTCATCGACCAAAGGCGTGACTTACGATTATGTTATACATTTTCATGTGCAAAGATTATTTATCTCTGAATTATATAAATATTTCTATATTGTATGTATCTTATATAAAATATATATATATATATCTTCTAGAGAAATTTGTAAAACAAATTTTAATTGATTATTATTAATTTGTATAATATTATTTTGCATTAAATGATATCAAAATTTAAACGGCATATTATTTATAGAGCGTATTGCTAATTCCTTTATTAATAAATTTGAGAAAATTTGATTACATTTAATCAAAACTTCAATAATTCATTGGACAATAACTATAATAGAAAATATTTCTTTAGGTTGAAATGGTTCTTTAGAAAGCATATCGCTTAAAAATTATTATACATGCCGTTAATTATTTGGATCGCGGAAATATTATGTACAGTATGTAGATCTTCATTTTACTGTTCCATTAATTGCAGCGAAAATCTTTTACGCCGTTACGCATCTTTAATCTAAAGGACACGATCAATTAAATTGCTCGCTCCACAAACTCAATCCTGTTAAATGATATAATATCAGTTCATTGCGCGCAAAATTGCCGAACCTAACTATCGACAGTTACCAGGTGCTTTTCCGGACGTAGACGGAGAAGAAACCGGTAGTAAATTAACCGACAATTCAATGGCATTAGCCGACTAACGGATTAATCATTCTATTTTCGTTACAGACATGTCTCTTTTTTAATATTCTTAAAATACATGGCACGCTTTCGTAAGCGATTGCGGTCGTCTCGCAGGTGTCCCGTAAGGATGCGTTCGCGGTATCCTTACGGATGATGCATGCAGGTTGTTATGCTTTCTTAACGGCAATTCGCCAAATCGTTACGACTAGGCTGCATTGCTTCGCGATTCGTCATGAACGCGATACGTCCAATTGGGGGCCCACATTTTCGACTCCCCGCAGCGATTTCCGAACCGCGACAAAAGCCGTTACGTTATTTTCATGGCTTTCTACCGCTTAGCGTAACTCAGATCGTCAATCGCATTAAGCGAAAATAGGGTAACGAGACTAACGGATTAATCATTTCATTTCTAACTGCTGAGCGAGCGAGCGATTGCGCGGTTGGCGATGCCCGTTCGAGTTAATCGTATACTGGAAAATCGCAATTGTCTCAATTCAATCCTTCTTTTAAATTGAAAATGTATCTATGTGAGAATTTATGAATTAAGAGATTCGCTCGAATAATTACGAATATACTCTTCCCGATATAGCTCCTCGTACCTACACGATTATTCGTAAACCTCGTGTGGCAAATGCGTTTGTCTCATACAGGAAGATTGACTTCCGGTAATTCCATCATCGAAACAACTTGGATGGATCTCCGTTTATGTTTATAGACAAGTCAACATCACACATTTCGTATGCGGGACACGCGGACACGTGAGTTCCTCAGACGTCGTGTGCGCGTGTATCGTGAAAGAAGACTTACGCGAGATGTGACTGCTAATTAATATTTGCTCAATTGCGATATTATTTTGAATATTTATTATCTCGATCAAATTTGGTTTTAACCAAAATTTTGTCTGAAAATTATGCTTCAATTAAAATTGAATCGCCGAATATTTGTTAAATTATGAATATTTCTGACATTATAAATACGTTATGAATGTTTGTCATGTTATAAGTTATAAATATTTATGTTATTATGAAAAAATTAAATTTGGCCTTGTAAATGAGACACATTAAAATTTTGAATTTTTAATTTATCTTTCCTATTTTTTTTCTTTTTAAGAATTAATTAATACTTACTAATTAATACGTTCCTTTCCTATAGATTCATGATTTCGTAAGTTGTGATTATTGTGTTGAAATTTTTAAATTTAAAATTAGAGATAGATTAAATTTTGAAAACGACGACATTTTACAATCATTGACTCTATAGATCTTACTTAATTATCTTCACATTTCGTATATATATATATATACACAAGTTCTTGTCTGCCAATGTTCTCCAATTTCGAGTTTTCCATCTGCAACCGACTGCACTATACAGAGTAGGATCGATGGTGGCCGATAAATAATGCATGACTTCCACTCGCACACGGCATTGTATGGTTGTACTCGTAAGATAACGACTGTCCTCTTAGGAAGAAAAGAGATCACGCTCGCACGGCGTGAGGAAAATCTCTTCGCGCCTTCTTTTACGAGAATAAAGATGAATATCCGTGTAATCCCGGCAGCGAACATCCATATTTTCGCGGCATCCAACATTCACGAGAACGGATACTCTTAAGATCTAAATTTCGAATGTGTAGAAAGTGCACGAAAAGACATGAGAAATTGTACGACGAAGAATCTATAAAATTCTGTTAAAATTTTTATGAAATTTTAAGAAAAGAAAATTAATAAAATGATGATATTCAATAAATCTGATGTTCAATAAAATATACAGAAAATATACATTATTGGTGTCAAGGATTTACACAAGGATAAAATACATGATTTACAAGAATGTAGTTATTCATAATCAAGAATCAGTGATATTGCGGAGATCAAGGTTTTACATATGTAAAGTGTGCGCTTGAACGAATATGAACAAGTTTTTTCTCACGCATAAGTGTAAACGCTCGTGACAAAATCATAGTTCATCCTTGGAGATAATCACATGCAAAGGAAGAGAGAGAGAGAGAGAGAGAGAGAGAGAGAGAGAGAGAGAGGGGCATTATGTAACTCGATGTGTATGCTCGCAGTGATAAATCGCGCTTTTCTCATGGGCAATCTCACCAGCGAGTGCCGAGCTCATTTCGAAGGGTAACTCAAGTGACTGGCTGTACCGGCCAATAATAAACCTTAGGAATTAAAAGGATTTTATTAAATGAGCAGAAATGTATAAGAAATGTATAGAAACATTTTTTAATTTTTTATTGTTTTGGTTTTTAATTTTACAAAATGTTAGCTAACGTTATAAAAATATTGAGAAAACCCTCTTGTTAACTATTATTTTTACAAAATTACATATACAATTATTCAACAGCATAACAATAGTTGGCCTCGAATTTTCTGCGGAAATTGTTTTATTAAAAAAATTAAAATTTAAATATTTTTTCTACGTTGCATATTCAATAATATATTCTGAGATTAATTAAAAGCTCCATTCACAATGATTATGATCGATCAAAATCGAAATGAATCATGCAATTAATAAAATTTGTGAAATCTGCGAAAATTATAACGTCAACTACATCATTGTCAGGATTTCAAACACATTTCATATTTATTTCGTAAAACGAAATTTTTTTATTTTTCTGTTACAGTTCTAGCCACTCTGTTGGCTGTCACTCACGAAGCTCCTCAGAATCTCAGACATCAAAACTATGAAGAGCATCCTCGTGAGGCCTATTTCAATGGCTCGGCGTTTCTGAAATTGGGCTCCTTTGTATCGGTGCACCGTCACAGCGGCCTTAGCTTCCGCACGTGCGATCCCGGTCGACTGTTCCTACAGAAATACAATGATAATTCGATCAGTCTTGAGGTGACGCCCGAGGGATTGCTGTTCGTGGCCGTGGTCGATCAGCAAAGGTATCGAGCCAGGCTGAACGCCAGGCTACTCAACAACGCCTGGCACAGCGTCAATCTGCTATTCAGGCTTGGGAATCTCACTCTAAATGCTGCAGGGCATACTCAGGTAAATTTATATGTATATATAAAAGAAGATATAATTATAGAAGCATTTATTTAATTAAATTTCTAATTCGACATAACATTGAAAATATTAAAATCAAATTCTATTTACTTTAGGCAATTTGTCATAACTTTCAAATAAACTAATAAATGTAATAAATCGTGTTTGCTAAATAAATTTATTACTTTTAAATATTTAATAAAGATAAAAAAACTAAATAGATTTTATAGATTTTTATTAATGAAAAGAAGTCGAGTTAATTTTAATTTTCAATGATATATAGCTATAAAAAAAAAAATCTTTTTTAGATGGTTGCAAACGCGACTTACAATTACGCCATCCTAACGCTTCCCGACTATGACGTAAACAGTTCGCTCATAGTTGGCGAAGGATTCAAGGGTTGCATCCTTCAAGGCCCAGGGATCCTCTTTAACAATAGCATCAATAACGGAGTCATCTTCGGTCCCTGCCCGTTGGATTTCAAAGGATGTAAGAATCCATAATTCTTCTATTTGAATAATTTTTTTCGAAAAGTATTCTTGCACTAGAAAGTGTTGAGTAATCGCACATAAATAGAGATCAATATCGTAGTCGCTATACAATATAAGTAGAACATCCTTCAGCTAGAGTTACAGTTGATTTAAGCGTCGAGATAATATTGAGGTAGGTTGACAACATGGTCGTCGCAAAAGAAAAAAATTTTTTAGATGACCTCGTAGGTAATCATCGACCAATAACAGTATGCTATAGATTATGAAAGAAAGAGAAAAAGAAGAAGAGTCGGGAAGATTGCTCTCAAAATTGTCGCACGTGTTTCTTTTTTTTTCCTCGAGTAAGATGCACATATTGCATGCGAGTTTTGTGAGAAACAAAAAATTTTCAGGTGGAACGAGCGGCATCGGGGGTGGCATGGGCGCCTCCGTCGCCACTACCCCCGCTATGGATTTCTGCCATCACGAGCCATGCATGATGCATGGTAAATGCGTGTCGCGGCAGGATCGCTACGAGTGCCACTGTTACGCCCGATATTCCGGCAACAACTGTCAGATTGACAATGGTAGACTTCGTCGATATCTCGAATATGCGGGGTTTTACACGTATGTGGGGCGAGCGGATTCATACCCAACGCGCGCGTTAAACGGCAATGTTACGTCACGTAATTATGCTGTGACGAGAAAATATCGTCCTGTCGTCGTACATTTGCATTTTCATGTTTTATGGAAAGATTGCAAAATCAAATTAAAGTTAAATTAAGATATAAATTAATATTTTAACGTACGTGAAATATTAATTGAGAATTAAATGCAAATTAAAGTACGAAAGTGAAAATATAAACGAGACAACAAAAGATAATTTTTTAAATATAGTTCAATATGACATATATATTATATATTTTTGAGCGTATATTATTGTAGAAAGGTATATTTATCACAAATTAAAAAATGAAATTAATTTTGAGAAATAATTTCTTATATTTTTATATAATTAGAATGTGTAAACGCTGCGTTTGGGTATAAAATACGCATTATTTTTGCCATTGATTTTCGTACATCATAAATATATTCTTATTTTGCTTTGAAACAGCTTGTAGAAACTTATAGAAACGCTTTTTGCCTTGCATTCCAACCAGCCTTTGCTTTCAAATCATGCTTACTCAATTACTTGTTTTTAATTTTTTACCTCTCAAGAAATCGCTTCAAAGTTAAGTAAAATAAGTTATTTTGTGAAAAATTGCGTAATTGAACGTGGCATATATTTTCAGCAATCTTATTTTTCTATTTAGTAATTTCGTCAACTATTAATTATTTATAATTTACATTTATAGTATTTTTACATTTATAGTAATGTACTTACAATTTACCTTTATTTTTACAAATATAGATATAAATATAACAAATATAATTAAAAAAAGAAATATGATTGTTTACTTTTGCATGCAATTAATATTATTGCAACTAATATCATTGCGACTAATCGTCCCAGATTTTCTTTTTTTGCCAAGAAAGTATCTTTAACTGAGTATCTTAAATGTTTTTCTTAGGTCCGCCCTGTCAGACTGGCCCTTGCCGCAATGGCGGTACTTGCAGCGAGGATTCGCGCGGTGATTTCAGTTGCACCTGCAAGCCCGGTTTCACCGGCAATTTCTGCGAATCTCAACTGGGAGTGCGATTGTGCGAGCAGAATCCGTGTAGAAATGACGGTATTTGTTTAGCGCTGACAGACAACGAATACAAATGCCAATGCCAGGCTGGTTGGACTGGAAAGAACTGCGAAATTAATATCAACGAATGCGCTTCGAATCCGTGCAAGAACGGTGGCATCTGCATCGATGGAATTAATAATTATACCTGCAGATGCGACAGGACCGGGTGAGTCCTTTAAGCATCTGAATTAAAAATTTTAAATTGCAATCTTTACTTCTCATTTACTCCCTCAATTTTCATTTTTATGGACAACCTATATTTTTTCTTCATTGATTTGTAAAATTTCAAAGCATCTTAAATTTTACGGAAGTAAAAACTGTACAAATTCTTAGATTTTTATTTTGTACATATAATGATACGTGCATCTCGAACGCTCTTCATTTTTTTCCCCTTCAGCTACGAGGGTGTCAATTGTGACGTAGACATCGACGAGTGTCAGGCAAACCCGTGTCTGAACAACGGCGTGTGCTACGATTATTACGGCGCGTACATCTGCCACTGTCCAACGGGCTTCGAGGGTCAGAATTGCGAGCTTAATCTGAACGAGTGCTTATCAGGACCTTGTGCGAACGGCGGTGAGTGCATCGACGATGTGGGCACTTATCACTGCGAATGTCTTTCGGGATTCACGGGTCGCCACTGCGAACTGAGGGGTCTCTGCGAAAATGCGGCTTGTCCACCCAATAGCATCTGCGTGGAGGATGCTCATGGGCCACAATGCGTCTGCAACCCCGGCTTTATGGGTAATCCACCCAATTGCACTGTCAACTACTGTGCCAGCAACCCCTGCGCCAATGGTGGCACCTGCATCAGCGGTCAGCATGGTTTCAATTGCACCTGCTTGCCAGAATGGACAGGTAAAAGTTAATCGAAGTTGATAGTATTTACTTGTTGTTGTTGTAAAATCTATCTTTCTTTCCCTAACATTGACGCGAATATGATCCGTTTGATACATCATCAGCTCATAAATGTTCTCTTTTTTATAAATGTAATTTTTATTATTTTTATAATTAGTTTAATTATAATTGTATTCACAATTTTTTTTCTTTTACAAATTTCTTTTTAACTGTGAAACAGGTTTTATTACTATCTGCAATTTACGGCTGTAAATGAGAGTTTTTTTTTTAGTTAGATTTAATTTAACTCATCATACTAATTTTTCGAAACATTTAGAATTTTCTTTTTAAAAGAGAGCGATATTTTTATAGGAAAAAATTGCCAGATTAACGTAGACGAGTGCCTGTCACAACCGTGTCAGAATGGCGGTACCTGCATTGACCGTGTCAATGGATACACTTGTAATTGCACCAGAGACTTTATGGGTGATAATTGCGAACAGGAATATGATGCGTGTGTCATAAATCCTTGTCAGAACAATGGTACCTGTACACTGATACTAAGATCAAAGAAAGAATTCGTTTGCGAATGTCCACACGGTTTTGAAGGCAAGGTATCGTAAACATTATGATACAAATATATAAATTTTATTTAAGCTTTATTTACATAAAATATATAGATTTTATGTTATATATGTGATTTCAAAGCCAGAGTGTAAGATAAATTCAATACGATGTAATTCAAGGTGTGCGACGTGAATATCGATGATTGTCTAGGCGTGGTATGCCCGAATAACAAGCAGATCTGCATTGACGGTATCGCTGGTTACGAATGCAAATGTCGCGAGGGCTACAGGGACCCCGATTGCACATTGATTGTAGATCACTGTGCGACGAAACCGTGCGGTAACAACAGTACGTGTGTCGACCTCGGTGAGCACGGCTTTGAGTGTAAATGCATGGAAGGCTATCAAGGTAGGTATTATCGAATCTGAGGCAATAAAATTACTTGCAAAATTGTTTCAAGAATTTTTTGGAAGTTTCGAAAAATTATTTCGAGACGTTCTATTTAATTATTAACATATTCTTTCATTTATTATGCTTTACAATTCCATGTAAATTATCTCTTTGAAAGAGAGAGCAGCAGTTTAAATTATTCTGGTTTATACCTTATACTTTTAATTAATATTTTTTAATTACATTTTTTAAATTTAATTACAATTTACCTCATATTAATTTTATTCTACCATTTTATCTTATCATACTGTAATTACATTAGAAATATGCATTTGTATTTATTATTTGTATTTGTATTTATTAAAAAACAAATTTTTATAACTGTATTGTCAAAAAAAAAAAATAAATAAATAAATAAAATAATATTTCTAAGATTTTCTATTGCAAAGATGGAAACGTAATTGTTGAATATTATCTGCAGGTGAATACTGCGATCTTGATATAGACGAATGCAACTTGCCCGGTAATTCCAAGTTGTGCAATAACGGTATCTGCGTCAATACTGAGGGTAGCTACAACTGTTTCTGTCGACCGGGCTTTTCTGGTGATCATTGTGACATCAACATCGACGAGTGCCTGTGCAGTCCGTGCAAGAATAATGCCACATGTCTCGATGGCGTCAACATGTTTCAGTGTCTTTGTCAACCTGGTTATACTGGCAAGACCTGCGAGATAGATGTGGATGAGTGCGACAGCAATCCATGTCATAATGGAGCCCAATGTGTGAACGGCGTAGCATCGTATACCTGCATATGCCCAGCTGGTTTTCTCGGTGCCAATTGCGAGATCAATGTCGACGAGTGCGAATCGTCACCTTGCATGAATCAAGGAAAGTGCATCGATGGCGTGAACGATTATATCTGTGACTGTAGCGATACCGGTTTTGAGGTAGAGTTTATTTTAGCTTGAAATTATGTACACGAAGAAATTTTTTATAAATATTTTTCTCTTCAAATCTTATTTCTCATCTTTGGAGACAACCATTTATTATCACTAAAATTAAATTTCTTGAAATATATAACAATTTTTTGCGGTTTTATTATATTTAAGCAACGTTTTTATGTTATTTGAATTTCATTTTATATATAATATAATTTCAAAAATTTTAAGAAATTTAATTTTTTAATTACACTTTAAAGTTTCACCAACTTCAATTTTTAGGGTCCACATTGCGAGAATAATATTGACGAATGTCTGTCACGACCATGTATAAACGGTGGACTATGTCTTGATGGCATCAAGAATTATAAATGTCAATGTTATGCCGGTTACACTGGCAAGAATTGTGAGGTGGATATAAACGAATGCGAAAGTTCGCCTTGTCAGTACAATGGCACTTGCCTCGAACGATCAAATAAGGATCTTTACAAGAGTGAGGCCTTGAATTTACCCGCGATTTTTACGCAGGAATTCAGTTACGCGAATGCCAGCGGGTGAGTCTTCTCTGAAATAAATTTCTTCAATAGTCTCTGATTTTTTTTTTTTTTTAATTTAGAGCCACTGTTTTTCAAATCTTTTTTATTAATTTTAATATCAATTTTGAATACATCTTATTACTACTACTTTCAAAGTTCCAAACCAAATAAAAACTAGGTTCTTAAAATCTCGACAGGTATGAATGTCTCTGTGTGCAAGGTGTCACCGGAAAAAACTGTGAGGTAAACATCAACGAGTGCGACAGCAATCCTTGCGGTCCAGGTACCTGCATGGATCGTATCGGCGGCTATACCTGCGACTGTGACGAGGGTTACGAAGGAGATCACTGCCAGCACGAGATCGACGAATGCAAGAGATATACCCCCTGCGAACATGGGGTATGCACTGACGCTAAGGCTGACTATTTCTGCACTTGCGAGCCGGAATACGGTGGTAAAAATTGTTCGGTGAAGCTGATGGGCTGCCAAGGCAATGCCTGCCAGAACGGTGGTACTTGCTGGCCTTACCTAGTGGACGAGACCATCCACAAGTTTAACTGCACTTGTCCTAACGGCTATCACGGCGAAGTGTGCGATTATGTAAGTATTTTTATTTTTTATAAAATTAACGACCAAAATTAACGACTCTTGAAGTTAAAGAATTTATAATAGGAAGAAAGTAGAGTAATTGTAGAGAGATGTTATTGTATTACAAAAGTGTTTTTCATTCACGCTTAATTATATATGCTTTATCGCACCCGTTAACTCTTTTCGAAGCGTTACTGGCGGAAGAAGGTGCGTAAATCGATTCCGTTATATAAACGGTTTTTATAAACATGTTATGATAAGAGTTACTCGACAAATTCACAGGTGACAACGATGTCTCTAAGCGGCAGCTCGTATGTTCTGGTGAACACCACGCGCGACGAAGGCTATGATATCCAGTTTCGCTTTAGGACCACTCTGCCAAACGGCCTTCTAGCGATTGGTAGAGGTGTGACCATTTATATTCTCCAGTTAGTGAACGGCAAACTCAATATACATTCAAGTATATTGAATAAATGGGATGGAGTTTTCGTCGGTAGTGGACTCAATGACTCCAATTGGCAAAAAGCATTCGTGGCTATCAACGCAACTCACCTTGTTCTCTCGGCCAACGAAGAACAGACTATTTATCCCATCAGTCCTAACGAAGGCTCTAATTCATCGAATCACACGTCCTTCCCCACAACTTTTGTGGGAGGCAGTCATATTAGCTCCTTGAGCTTCCTGAGAAGATTATCCCGCTTACCCTCGTTCACTTTCTTCGTCGGCTGCATGGAAGATGTTGTCATCAACGGTGAATGGGTATGTCAATTTATTTTTATTTATCTCAATTTCTATGACATTTAAAATCTCAAACTTTTTGCTTTCAAACTATCAATTCTGATCGTCAATCTGCAATTTTTTAATCTGCTCTCAATTTCCAAATTTTAATCGCATTGCCTTAAAAATCTTTGCAACAATGTTTGACGTCTCAACAACGTACCTTAGGTCTATTCAGGCACCACATCAAAAACTGTAAATATGGAGGATGTAGAGCCGGGCTGTCCTCGCGAAGCTCAGTGTTCGCCGAATCCTTGCAAAAATGGTGGTCACTGCACTGATCGTTGGCGCGATTTCTACTGCAAGTGCGAACGTCCTTATCTTGGTCACACTTGTCAATACAATATGACTGCTGCTACTTTCGGATATGAAAACATCACGAATGGCTACGTAACTGTGAGAGTCAACGATGCGGCCAGGCGCACCGTCAGCTCGGTCGTTGACATTTCTATGTTCATTCGCACGCGAGAGAGCCGCGGTGATATCTTCTATTTGGGCACGGAACCGGAAATTGATCAAAAGCCGCAAGAAAAGACTTACATAGCGGCACAGCTGGAAGGCGGGGAATTGCTCGTCAGAATCCAATTTAATGGTACAGAAGCTTACACTGTCGGCGGCGTGAAGCTCAATGATGGAAATAACCATCTGATCCAAGTGGCGAGGAACGTCACTCTCGTCCAAGTGAAGATCAACGGCACTGAGTACTTCCGCAAGACTATCAGTGCTACAGGAGATCTGAACGTGACTGTTCTCTATCTGGGAGGATTACCGCAAACGTCGCGGTATATTCGCCAAGTTGATAGCAGGCAGATGGAAGTGCAACAAGTGCCGCAAGTTAATTTTAAGGGTATCATTCAAGATGTGCAGATATCGAATGGCACAAGGACAATGGTTGTGGAATTCTTCCCGTTAAAGGTAATTGATGATTACTTTTTAAAACGCTTATATTTGTAAGTAACTATTATCTTCTTTCAGGCACAAGACATTCCTGCACCTATTCAATTCGGCAATATTTCCTTCGATCCTGAAAAAGTCCTCGAGGGCGTAGTGTCGGATGACGTATGCGTGAGCAGCCCATGCAATCACAACGGTACGTGCCACGTAACGTGGAATGACTTTTGGTGTCAATGTCCGCGTGGTTACACCGGCAAGACCTGCCAGGAAATGGAATTCTGCCAATTGCAAGATTGTCCGGCGGGATCACGCTGCCAGAATCTTGACGATGGTTACGAATGCATCGCCAATGCCACCTTTGACGGTATCTCCACCGCCTTTACGTACGTGTACAGTCATGCTACGGATGCTGTCAGCGACCTGCCACTCAACACTATTGAAATTACCTATCGATCCAACACCGGTGGCACGCTACTTCACATGGCGCCTCACATGGGCGACCAACATTTCACTGTGTCCGTCTTCAGAGATATCGTTACCGTATCCTGGCGACTCGATATAGAGAATCAGGGTATTATTTCTTTCGGCAAGAGTCAACCCGACGGAAATTGGACTTCGCTGCTCATCAGACTAAACAACAACTCCATGGAATGTGGTTATGCCAATCCTACTGAGGAGCAGCCTCACGTGAGTCCCAATTTCAGTTTCCAGCTGTGGTACGATCTACTAGCAGAAGGAACAGTCACCCTCGGTGGGCTTTCCTCCACCTTGTCTGATAGGCATACTTACGTCACTGTCGGATCCAAACATGAGAGAAGAAACGGGGTCGAGGGCAATAGCGTGGATTACAACGAGCATAGGCTAACAACCGTTATGCCGCCACATAGTATGATGTCCGGTGCGTATAATATTTTAATATAAAATTTTAATTGATTGTAAATGTTATTAAAAATATAATATAAAATAAAAGATAATATTAATATTTAAAATCTTTAAATTTTCATATTACTTTTAATATAGAATTGGTTGCTCTTCTTCTTTCTCTTTTTTGTTATATTATTTAAGCGCTTTTTCTTGGAACCAGTGAATTATTCTTTTTTCTCTGCATGCAGGAGAGCCGTTTAAGGGCTGCCTTGGCGAAGTACGCATTGGCAGCATGCTGTTGCATTATTTCACATATGAGGAGGTTTACCAGAATGCAAACTTCACTCCGTTGGAGTTTCTGGAGTTACAAATCAATGATAATTCCACTCATCGCGATAGCATCGGCTGCCAGTTATGCTTTGACACCGACTGCAAGAATGATGGTTACTGTTTCGACAAGGCCAACAGCTATGTGTGCGAATGTCCGGCAGGCTATGCTGAGGACGATTGTTCCTTTAATATTGACGAGTGTGTTGAGAGCAAGTGTCAAAACGGTGCGACTTGCGTCGATGGTATCGCTAATTACACTTGCGTGTGTAAGAACGGCTGGCAGGGATGGCTGTAAGTATTTTGTCCAGAAAACAATAATTTATGAATAACAATTGATAAATTTACTATTAATAATATTAGTAATTAATACATTTACAATCAACATCACATGATGTCAACAGATGTAAAAAATTTGTATACCGATATAAAATCTCCAAGTCCATTCTTATCAACTTATCACATCAAAAGATTACTTACGTACACACATCTTATAACAACAGTAATGCGAGATAAATTCCATAAAACTGTATTCTTCGACGAAGTGAAGTGAATGCGACACTCCCTTATCTATTTCTATCTGGTTACAGATGCGATAGCGACATTAACGAATGCGTGACTCTGAGTCCGTGCCAACATGATGGCGTTTGCGTGAATCTACCGGGCTTGTTCAGATGCGAATGTCCCGATCAATTCACTGGTGAACTATGCGAGAGCTTCCGTCTAATTACTTGCGAGAACGAGCCGTGTAAGAACGGCGCGACTTGCGTAGACGTGCCGAACCCAAAGACGGGTAACAACTTCACCTGTAACTGCATGCCTGGCTACGACGGTCCAACCTGCGACACGCCCTATTGTATCAGCAACAAGTGTCAAAACGGGGGCAGATGCATCTTTTTATATCAGGTAATCCTCCTCCTCCTCCTCCTCCTCCTCACTGCGCCTTTGTATTTTATTCTGGAATTTCGTAGTTTGAAAAGAATTATTATTGAATTATTATTATATAATCGGAGACTTTCTTTTAAATTTTTAATTAGAAGTCTCTTGAAGTTACTACTGAAATTGTAAAAGTTATAAATGATAAAATTTTTTATTGAATCTATTTTTAAATTCTGGAATCTTCTTTTTAAAACTTTAAACTTAAATCTTAGAAGTCTTGAAAATCTTTAAATTCTTTAATTTCTTGATTTTAATTTGTATTTCGAGTTTATAATCCTACAGTTTCTCAAATTCTCAAAGATGACTTTGTTTTTATTGTTTAATCATTGTATAATTATTATTACCTATAACTCCCTATATAGACTCCAAAATGCACTTGTCCTCTTGGTTACACTGGCATGTACTGCGAGACCAACATCGATGACTGCGCACCAGATTCTGATGGCAACGTTCCTTGTAAAAATGATGGCAAGTGCTACGATGGAGTGAACAAGTTTGTATGCGACTGCCAAGGCACCGGATATACCGGAGACGATTGTTCCATCGACGTTAACGAGTGTCAAGAATTAGAGATCGACTGCGGACGTGGCACGTGCGAGAATCTGCCTGGTATCTATCAGTGCGTTTGTGAGCCTGGCTTTTGCGGCTACAATTGCGCCATGAGAAATCCTTGTATTCACGAGGTGAATACTTTAATCCTTAAGCCAAAAGGAAAAAATAAAAAATATATATATTTATTGATTACGTCATAATGTTTTTATTCGATTTTTTTATTTAGGTTTATTGTCAGAACGGGGGTACATGCGAGTGCGGTAATGATGGTGGATATATATGTCGATGCACTCCTGATTATAGAGGACAAAATTGTACAGAGGTAAGATAAAATTCGAGAATTTTAAAGTGCATGTATTTAGAAATTTCAAGCTGTGAAGTTATAATTTGTCTACCAGTCGTGGCTCAATAAGAAATGCACAAAATATTTATAATGTATTGTCATAATTCTACAGGAAATATAGTTACGCAAATATTGAAAATAAAATTATTGAGAGTAATTTTCTACAATTCTACAATTCTATAAATTTATTTATTTCTGGATAAATCAATAATAAATAATTGTTTTCAGCCGGAAAATAATTATCGCTTAGGTAGTCAAGCCCTCGATATAGCGGTGATCGTTGGCCCAATTGTGGGCTGCCTTCTCCTGATTGCCATCGTATCCCTTATAGCGCTCTTCATGATGGCTAGAAAAAAGCGTGCAACACGTGGCACGTACAGCCCGAGTGCTCAAGAGTTCAGCAATCCAAGAGTAGAGATGGATAATGTAATGAAGCCTCCGCCGGAGGAAAGATTGATCTAATCGAATGACGATCGGAAGTATATAATTAGGTAATGCGAGTGAATTTCGATATATGGAAGTTGCTTTTTGAAAATATAGATTTCATGTAAAAGCAGAGAGAGTAATAAGAATAAAATAGAGTAGTTTCTTTTTTTGAAGCTAAATTGATAAAAAAAAGAAAAGAGAGAGATAGAGGATCTACAATGGGATCTACAACGCCGAAGTCAATTTGTATAATTGGTTTATTTAATTAGAAATATCGTTGTTTCTAAAATTCTATTTAGATATAGATTTAATCCTTTGTAAATGTAAATATTCCATATATCGAGAGTTATTTGCGTAGCCTAGTCTTCCGAAAATGTGATTCACTTGCAACATTGCAACGTTTTGCAACTGAAAACACTCAGATCGCTCGATGAACAGCTAAGTCGATGACGTGTGAAACAGTTATTCATCGCGTCTTCTAGTCCTCGCTGTTTTATCGTTACAAAAAGAATAGACGAATTAGAAGGAATTTACTGTAAGATTACATTTCTTATATCCTTTGCAAATCAATTAGAAAATTTCTGTGAAATCCTTTTAATTCGTTAGTTGAATGAAAAGAATCGTGTAGACAACGATTCTAAGATTAATAATAAATTTAATAATAAAAGTTTTCAACACATTTTTCGACGGCATGCTTGCCAAGGAAAAATAATTATCAATCAAGTGAATTAGGAAATTTGAACACGTTGGATCAACATTTGTTTCGAGTTTTTTAAGTAATGTATAGAATGTCTCAGAGAATATATTTTAACGAATATATTTTATTGCATGCACGAATATATTTCCTAAAAATTTGTATTCTAGAAACAAAAATTGCAATTTCTTTATATAATTGACTCCAAGGGACCAATAATAATGTTCCGAGATTCAAGAATTCAAGGATATGGAAATCTAAGATTTTTACAAATTCGACAAGCTCTAAAAATTAAGAATTTAAAAAATTCGAGATTCCAAATCTAAGAATTCTAAGAATCAAAAGGCACAAAAAGGCAAGGAAAAAATCAAATGAAGTTTAAAATGTAAGATTTTTTTAAAGGATTAAAAGGAAAAGGTTCTCATCGAATAATAATGAAAAAAGAATGATTTATTTCTTTTTTTTCTCTCTCTAAGACACTCTATAAATAATATGCGTAAAATAGATCGTGTAGATTATGATGAAGTGTACTTAATGCTCTCAGAAGTGTCCTTAAGGCGTTAAGCAATACTCGAAGGAGAAGAATCCGAGCAAACAGACCCGTCCATTTTAGTGCCTAATCTATATCTTACTTAAAAAGATATTATTTATAAGCCGCGATGCATGCAAAAGCGATAAAGAAAGAAGAAATAGATAAAAGAAAATCGAGACGATATTTCAAAAAGATGTATGACTCAAACACATACGATCTCGAGAATAATGCATAATGTTTTTACGCTTGCAAAAGAATGGATGAATTAAAGGAATTTTGCATAAAAAAATTGTTCTATAAATTCAAATTCTTAATTTACAATTAAGATTTATTTTTTATTACATTTTGCATTCATCTAATTTAATTTTTAATTTGTCAATTTTCCCTCAAATTTAATTTAATTATAACTTTTCTTTATTCAATCTATTTGATTTTTTTTTTAGATTTCATTAACTCCATTAATGTTTGGTTATATCTTACTTTTAGTAATATTTATTTTTTATTTGTAAATTTATTTGTTAAATTTATTATCTAGCTCGATTTTAAATGATTATCTCGCTTTTTAAGTACAAAAGTTAATTAAAACTTTTGTTAATTTAGTTATGATAAAATTTTTTTAATTTGTCTATTTTTATGTGGGATTATTTACATTAAGTCTTAAATATTGTCAAGTAGTAACACGTATTCCAATTTACTGTAAAAAAATGTCGATGCTGTCGAGCATTTCCGACGAGAATAAGAGAAGAAAAAAATCTGATCTGCTCGGGAAAACTCACATTATCGTCGCGTCTGTTAATTTTGTACATAGATATAGCTTATAAGCCGAAAATATTATTAACGATTTTATCATGTTTAGGATTTTATATGACTATTAGATATTTAACAATAACGAACGTATTAATCGATACGTACTTATACTACCACGACCAAAGTAGCGATGAGACGATATCTTATAAGATTTTACTCTGTAAAAATCATCTCGCAATTTTATAAGCGTTTGATTCTTCATTTATATAGCATTTGTGTTCAAGACTGAGTTTCCAGCGTCTGAAATATAAGAGAAATAAAAAAAATAGAGACATATATATCGAATATATATATATGTATACATATATATTCTATGTATATATACATGTGTTCAAAGAAGTGAACATAGATTGTATTAATTCCATTTTTTTAATTAATTTCTTTTGTTACTTTGCATTGAATGTTTCGATTTATATCGAAACATGTAGGAAAAGTCCAAATGTATAGTTTAGGCAAATTAATAACTATCTCTCTTTTACTTTTCGAAACAATTCCGTGCAAAATGATTCATGCACGTTTTTATTTCGCAGAAAATAATCTAGAACTGAGAGAATAAGTAAGATTTGATCGCGAGCGTTTTATTCGATACGACCATGATGAATTGAGGTGTAAGGATATGCGATACAGCGCGTTATAAGTAGGTATAGCAAATCCAAACGGACGACTAAATGTACAAAATGAATAAATATATATAAACGTACGAATTGACTAACGTATCAATAAATATGTGTCTTTATTACTTCATAAAAATACAGAAGTTATAAAATAATATATAGAGTAAACAAGTTCTAATTGATAAAATTTTTTAAAAATATAAGTATAATAAGCTAAAAATTCAATTCAAATATTTAGAATTAAAACTATTCAATCAGCTAGAAATAAAAATTGGAGTAAATTGAGCAATCGTTAAATCCAGCTTGTGCTCTTGCCATTAATTTTGTTTAACTTATTACGCGTTATTTTGTCGAAGAATAAAAGTCCAGCAGCGCGTTCAATACTCTCTGGTGGCACCTATTAAAAGATGAAAGTCTTATAATACAATTTATTTTTTGTAATATATATATTAAATAAATTTAACATATCGTTTATTTTTTAGGCAAATTCTAATAATTTTAATAATTATAAGCTATTCTATAATTTATTCGATAATTTAACTATGTTTATGCCGCGATATACTTGAATTTAAATTTATACGTACACAAG